TTTTTGTATCGGATTGAACTTAGGACCTTGTGCTTTTGAGGAAGGTGCAGTGTTGCCACACCACTGAGCTAAATCCCCAGCCCTACTGATCCTAATTTTGGGCAATTAGAGATCTGTGATTGCCAGACAAGATCTTTTTTCCATGGAGGGGAGGCAACAAGAGCTCAACTGCAGGGAATTCAAGAGAAAATGGAAATTTTGGTTAAAGAGGAAAAGTGAATCCATGTATTAAGTGCCTCTCTACCCCATTAAACCCATACTCCTACTAATGGTCAAACAAACAAACAAAGAAGTAGAGGTCCACAAGAGCAAAAAAAAAAGAGAGAGAGATCCACATAAAATTTGGAAGCCAAGTATTCCCAACAGGGAAGGCTGAAGAAAAACTCAACCTGAGATAGAGCACTTTAAGAGATCACGCCTTTTAGAAGACCTGGGTGCCTCCACAGCCAGCATGATTTGTGCCTAGAAATGTAGGAATACTTCAGTCTTCTTTAGAAGCTGTAAGACTTTATAACTCTCTCCATTCTGGACTGAAGGCTTATTCTCTGCAAAGACTATGACATTGTTTCTCTGGATTAGGCACAACTGTTATAAGACATCTGTACAGAAACAGGGAGATTAAGTGAAAGTTTACATACTGAATGATGAAGTCCTCAGTTTTTACCCCAGTTCCTAGAGCCTAAATATCCTTTAAATACCAGAGCAGGAAAGCCTCTCCTGCAGGAATAATCAGCCAAGAGTAGTGATATTGAACCTCTAGCTTGAGTACCAGAGCACGGTCCTCTGTTATTACTCAGAGTTCTAAAACGTTTCTTATCACTGGCTTCCGGAAACCTAAGACATTGAAGTCAGGAAAGAAACTAGTGTACAGTGAGGTCGTTAATATTCACCTGTTCAAAAGATATTTTATGACTCACTCTTAAAAAATCTGAGCAAAGACCAGTCATTTGAAGCATCTAATTTTAAAGGTGAAAAATAAAACAAGCAAGACAATGAACTTGAATTAAAGAAAGTATGTAGGAAGAACAAGAGAAAAAAAATAAAAGCCTACTATTAACTTTTCAGAAAGACAGGTGAAGACACTAGGCTTGCCAAACACCAGTGAGACTTTGCAGTTGCTGAAGATGACTTTGGATTGACACTAGTTACACACTAATGTTTTCATTCAGTCAGCTGCCTCAGAAAAAACAAGAAGTAGGCAATGAGCTGGACTTAAAGTTTGGGTTTTGCTACAGAACAGGAAAACAAGTCAGACTAGAAATTCTCATTAGTGTAATACTGTCAAGTTTCAAAAGTGACCTCCCCACACACAAAAGAGACCCACAACATTTCCAAAATATGTTTTAAAAATCTCTTTAAGCCAACCCAGTTGGAAAAACAGCAATACCATACCTTGTTGGCAGCAACCAAAACTTTATCAAGAAATCGCAACCATTCAAAGATAAAAACTGGTCTCTTCGCTTCGGTGATTTGAGCCAAAGCGTCTTCATTTAGCAATAAACTATGTGCTAACTCCATTACTGGAGTTTTTAATTCACACCTGAAATTAACAGATTAAAAAATGTGTAAGATGCTCTAATGTTAAAAGCCAATCTTAATAAATGCAACCACTAAGAAAGGAAAAGTATAGCTTTTCATTTCATTTGGGGAAAAAAACAGAACTTCTTTGCAATACAACCTAAGAACCAACTTAGAAAAGACCAAGGTACAAATAAAAACAAAAACGTGCTTGGTAAGAAAGAATGAATAATGAAGTGAAAGGAAAAACAAAATAAAATAGTCCAGAAAAGGCATTCCGAAGAAATATGCCCAGCAAAAAAGAGGCCATTAACTCATTGCATAAATTAAAAAGCCAAGATCAAGCTCCTTGGCGAGCTTTGCAATCCACCCACCCTCCTTCACCTGCTACCTGGTGCAGCATAAAGACCCCAAATCGCAAGCCTCCCAGATTTCCTTGAGGGGCGAGGAGGGCGCGAAGCGGTCCCCGCGGCCCGGGCGTGCGTGGCAACACCCTCGGTAGAGGACGCAGCGGTCAGAGGCCTCGGGCGCGGGGGCTTGGTTCACTCGGATGCTCCGAGGGCCTCACAGCTAGGCCAGGCCCGGGGGAGGACGATACAAGACGCTGTCGCAGGCCTCCCCAGGCTGTCAGCCACACATCGAAGGGTTCTCCCGGCCGCCAACCCCACCAGCCGGCGGCTGGGAACTGAACCCAGGCCAGAAGAGAAAGCGTTCATTACGAACTCGAATTTCCTTCCCACCGATCTGAAATCGTCCCGGGAGGATGGGGGAGTGTGAACGTCTCAACTTGTACTCTGCGGCGGTGAAGGGGATGGCCTCACCTCCAAGTCAGCCCAGTCAGAGGCCGATCAGCTGAGCTCGAGAGACCGAGGCGACCGCCTAGGGGACCCGGATGCCCCGCCTCCCGCAATCCTACCCCAGGAAAAGACTGGAGAGTGCTAGCGCGAGACTCTGGTTCTGCGCAAGCGCACTCACCACGTCCTCCTGGCCCCGCCTACCGAAAGTTTCCAATTGAGTCGGCTCTCGGAAACGCAGGGCGTGGAGAGGCTCACAGCGCATGCGCAGCACGCTCTCTGGGGACCTGGACCTGGACCCGGACCCGGATGAGTATCGGTCAGGTAAGGGTCCGCGGCCTGGGGAGAGAATGGTAGAGGGCGTATCACCTGTGACTATCCATACGACACAGCATCAGCCTGTGTAGGTGGTAGCGTCTGTGAGATGCCTGCAGCCGGGAGGAAGGCTTGAGGGAAGAGACCAGCGGCATCTGAGGGATTTGTGTGGGGATGAGGCGTTTCTTGTCACTTTTCTCCTGTATATCCACGACAGTACTTAGCCCATCTCTCCATTTGGCTGTGTCGTGAAACTGAATGTGAATGAAACAGAACCCTTGCTGCCACACCTCGCCTCCTCTCTGCAAAAATAATAAAAAGAGCCGGGCGTGGTGGCGCACACCTGTAATCCCAGCACTCGGGAGGCTGAAGCAGGAGGATCGCTGTAAGTTCGAGACCAGCCTGGGCTACATAGTGAGTTCTAGGTCAGCCTCAACTACATAGTGAGACCCTGTCTCAAAAAACAAATAATACATAAATTAATAATAAAAGAAAAACTGCACTTGTAGTTTTCCGATGCAAAAGTTAACTCGAGTCTTAAAGGAGTAAATTGTTGTGTATACTGTGTCGTTTGGGAATCTAACAAAAGAAAAGATATACCATAGACGATTTTTTTTCACCATCTCCAGGCAACAATTCCTGTATGCTCCACTTTCAAATACTGGCTACTCAGAATCCACTTGCGTTGTTAGCACTCCCAGTGATGATCCAAACCCCTTCATGTCTGCCGGGATTAGCACCTTGTAAAGTTTATGCTTATGTCTGACAGGAGTGGATAATTAGAATATATTGTTTCAATAGAAAAGGAGCTTTAAAAAGAACGTGTAAGCCCCCCTCAGCTCTACTTTGCAATTTAGGGCTAAGTGAATCCCTTAAAAATAATGTAATTGTAGCCCTGGAGTGTAGCTCAGTGGTAGAGCACTTGTATAGCACAACTGTGGCCCTGGGTTCAATCTGCAGATCTTCAAATAATAATGCAATTGTATTTTCAGTTCCAAGACCACAGAGACTTGTATTCTTTGTGGTTGTGAGCAAGTCGTTTAGCCATAATGAGCTTTAATTTCTTCAACTGGAAAGGAACTGTTTTTCCTTCTTGAGTTGTTCATAAACTGGGTAGTGCTAACCGTTGTGTGTAAAAATACTGTCATCATTCAAGAAGAATCTGGGTTTTAGATACAATGGTTGAATTACCAAAAATAATGTATAAAGTCATACACATTTTTTTTTTTTTTTTTTTGGTTGGTTGAGACAGGGTCTCACTATGTAGTTGAGACTGACCTGCAACTCACTATGTAGCTCAGGCTGGTCTCAAACTCACAGCGATCCTCCTGCCTCAGCCTCTTGAGTGCTGTGATTACAGGCGTGCGCCACCACGTCCGGCAGTCATACACATTTTAAACTGATAGTTTTAAATAGATGGAACTAAACTAATTGTTTACGGTTGTGCACATGGAAAATGAAACTACAAAGACAAGTAAGAAATTGATTGCCACAGAAGACACAATAGTGACTAAAGGAGGTTGCAGTTGGGTTACAGACAAAGAGGGCTCCCAAGAGGCTGATGAGGTTCTATCTTCTGATTTTAGTAATACTATATTTTGCTAACAGATTATACCAAAATTTATCAGCCTGTTACCTATTGTCATTTATTAACTAATAGTTTCTGTGAGTCAGGAATCTGTTAACACCTTAGCATGGGTTCCTTAAAAAGGTGACGTAACGAAGGTGCTGCTAGCCAAATCTGAGTCACCTGAAAGCTTGACTGGGAGTAGAAAACTATTTCCAAGGTTGATCACTCATGGGGCTCACAAATTTGTGCTGGCTGTTGACTGGAGACCTCAGTTCCTCTCAAGTGGACTTCTCCATGTCACTCATGTGACAGTTGATTTCAAAGAAATCATCTAACCAAACTTCACAAAGTGATCTAAACCAGACCTACAGTGTCTGTTCTGACCAAAAAGCCAGACTCCATCTGTTTTATTTTCTCCTTCCTGAAAAGCAGTATCCAACACCCACAGTTTAAAGGAGAAAAGATTTATTTTGACTCATGGTTTGTAGCTATTTCAGTCCCTTGTTGTTGGCTGGCTCCAAGGAGGACAGCATGGCGGAGGAGTTTGGCAGAGAGGAAGCAGCTCATGGCATGGCAGGCAAGAAGTAGAGAGGGATCAAGAGAGGAGGGAAGGAGACAGATCCTTCCAGGAGACGCGCCCAGTGACCCACCTCCTCCAACAGGCTTTCTGGCCCATATCATTTAGCTATGAACCCATCAGTGGACTAACCACTTCCCAAAAGCTCTATCTATGAGCATGTGGGGCCTTTGGGGTATATCCAGATATAAACTATAACACCATTATTTCCACACAGTCCTATTGATTATGCGGCTTAATTGATTATCCTGTTCACTGTGGGGGGAGACTGCACACAGATGTTGAAAATCCAAGATGCAGTTATTTCTGGGGGCTATCTTGGAGGATATTGCATGGCTATAAGTGTTTGCACCATAATATATTAGCTTTATGTAGTTTTCTGTATTTATTTTTAAAGACTTTTGAAAAGATAGGTTGACATAGGAAAAAAAGGATTCTATTATTACACAATCAACATACCGAGTTCTGTATGAGTAACTTTAAACATAAAGTGCTATAGAGAGAGGTCTGAAGTGGTCAAGATAATTTTTTGTGAAGGAGAAACACCTTGGCCTAGAAGGAAGGGTCTGTGGTGTGTTCAGAGGACAATGAAGAATATCCCTGAATAATATCCCAAAGGAGAGTCAGGTCAGATTAATGGAAAACAACATCTCATACTTTGCTAATGTAACCAGTCTTCTACTACCTCTAGGGTCAAGTTTACTGAAGGGTTTGAAACAGAAGTGACCTGACCTCACTTGTATTTAGAAGAACAAAGCCACTTTAGTGGGATACAGAAGAGGAGAGGGCAAAGGCCATAAGTCCTGTTAAATGGCTGTTGCAATAGTTCAAATTTCTTTTTTAAAGTCTGTGGTCATCATAACTGTGGGAAAGATTATCTGTGAGAAATATTATGGAGGAGGAATTGACAGGTTTATGAGAGGTCAGGAAGGGAAAAGTGGTGGTGACATTACTGTAGAAATACAGGGGAGTGAAGAGGTTTGGGAAGAAAGATGAGTTGTTTCAACTACTGACCTTGAGAACTTCACAAATAAAGATGCCCAAAGGGCACTTGAATACATAATAGTGCTCTGGGGAAAGCTGATGCCGCAGAGGGATAAATAAAGGTTTACTTTCATTCTGGTATACCAAAGAAAACTGATTTTTTTCTGATTTGTAGATAGCATTGCCATATGAAGTTGAACATGGCAGAAGAAGAGGACTATATGTCTGATTCCTTCATTAATGTCCAGTAAGTAAAAGTGCACACCTCATGCAACAGGATGCAGAAAACATTCAGAGACTCCTTTTTTTCTTTAATAAAGAGTATTTATTTGAATTTAAAACATTTTTTTCTTTAATAAAGGATATATATTTGAATTTTTTAAAAAACATGCAGAGCTATGAAGTGATAACGTGGAGTTTGTTCCTTTTTCTTTTCATTTGCAATACATAATGCTTACATTCACCTTAGGGAGTAGGTACAGGTACTTAATACTTCTTAATCCCCTTTAATCCCCCCATTACATGCGTTGTAGGTAGTTGGTAAATGTGCACAACACATCCCAATTCATGCACATCTCCCTCACCATCCTCCCTCCCCAACCTTCCATCTCTTGCTCCCTTCCCATTTGCAAAAGATCTGTCTTCCTGTTTCATCCCATCTGCCTTTCATTTTGCTCTGTACTTCATTTACACTTTAGGTTTCTTGTATGAGAGAGACTGTATGCTATTTAAGCTTATGTGTCTGATTTATTCCACTTAATGTTATATTTTCAAGTTATATCCATTTTCCTATAAATGACTAATTTATCCCACTTTATAGCCAAGTAGTATTCCATTATGTATACATGTCACATTTTCTTTACCATTCCTCTGTTGCTGTACTATAGGCCGCTTCTAAGATTTAGCAATTAAGAATTACAGGGCCAGGGATTTAGCTCAGTGCTGCCTCCCTCAAAAAGTTCCTGAGTTTGATCCCCAGTACCAAAAAAAAAGAATGAATTTTGCTGTTATGAAACATTGATTTGCATGTGTTGCTATAACTCTTTGAAAGTTGGCTTGAAGGGCAGTAGTTGGGTTAAGTGGAATTTCTAGCTTTAGTTGGTTTGGTTTGTTTTTGTTTTTTGATACAGGGTCTCACTACGTAGCCCAGGCTAGCCTCAAAGTGATCCTCCTGCCTCAGCCTCCTGAGTGCTGAGATTACAGGTGTTTGCCACCATGCCTGGCTTTTAGTTTTTTGAAGAATCTCCATACTGATTTCCATAATGGTTGTACTAGTTTATATTCCTACAAGCAATGACATTGATTTTAAATATGAAGTTAGCAAGTTAGTCTTACTCCTTTCTGGAAACATTTCCTATTCATACAGAGATAATAGCAGCCCCTTCCTCCCTTTTTCTGCTAACATTATACCTTTACCCTTAATCTTTTTATCTTCTTTCACAGAAATTTATTCCTTTTTCTTTACTTCATCATATTGTCTCTTCTGGCTTTTAGTCAGTTTTGCTCTTTATTTATTTTTATTTTTTATTTTTTTGGTGCCAGGAATCGAACTCGGATCCTTGCACTTGCGAGGCAGGCAGTGGAACCACTGAGCTAAATCCCTGGCCCAAGCTTTGCTCTTTATTATTGCTGACCTCCTAGAAAGTTTAGTCTAAGCTTACTATTTATAGTTTCTTCAGCTCTATACTTTAGTTTCCCACAATGTATAACCAGCCTTCATCAATTATACTAAAATAGCCATTTTTGGAGATCAGTGATATTGCTGCAATACCAGTAATAACAAAGATGATCATAAAGATGGTGTGAAATATTGATTAGTGTCAAGTAAATGGCAAAGGTGTGAGAAACCTCTATGTACTCCTCTGAGATAACCATTTCTTTTATCTTTCAGAGAAGATATCAGACCAGGATTGCCAATGCTGAGGCAGATCCGAGAAGCCCGTCGAAAAGAAGAAAAGCAGCAGGAAGCTAATTTGAAAAATAGACAGAAGAGTTTAAAAGAAGAGGAAAAAGAAAGACGAGACACTGGGTTGAAAAATGCACTAGGCTGTGAAAACAAAGGGTTTGCTTTGCTCCAAAAGATGGGCTATAAAAGTGGTCAAGCTCTTGGCAAGAGTGGTAAGTTGCATTTAGAAATAGCTATTCCTAAGTACTCAGTGGTGATGTATCAATGAGGATCACAGATGACAATTTAATCTCTGGTCTACAAAAAAAATTCAAAGAAGTTACGCTTGTCTTTTATGTGCTAAAAAGCTTTATATACTTTCATTTTCACACATCTATTTTAGATAACACTTGTGCCACTAGCAGCCTGCTTATTACCAGGTCTGATGGCTTGCATTAATAATCCTCACCAAGCCAGGGATTTAGCTCAGTGGTCCTGCCGCCTGCCTTGCATCACAAGGATTCCCAGTAACAAAGGAAAAAAAAAAGAAAATCTTCACCGAGGCCAAAGCAGGATGATCACAAGTTTGAGACTAGCACGGGCAACTTACCAAGACTTTATCTCAAAATAAAATTTAAAAGACTCAGGATGTAGCTCAGCAGTAAAGTGCTTGCCTTCTATGCTCAGGCCCTCCGTTTAACCCTCAGCACATATGTACATACACACAGCTGCTTATCCGCCCGACTCAGCCTTGAAGGCATTGACGACTGGGGTGGATATGGCTTACCATGGAGGCAGCGAAGAATGGTGACAGATGGAAGGTTAAAGAGCACAGCGGCCGAAAGACAAACAATATTGAGGGACGGCAGCTCTGTCTTGCTTTCTCTTGTTCCCTCTTGGACCTGTCATATCAGCATTGTCACTTCTGAAAGCGCCATAAGAGGCTGTGAATCTGCCTTGTTGAGGACAAGATATTTGAAGGCAAGGGAGGTAACTGATTAGTATTGATTTCAGATTTCAGTGTGAGTATCACTGAAACTGGAGGAAGGAGGGATGTGTCTAAACCATTATAAAGTCACATACTGCACAGGCCTGAACATTTGGGGGTAGAATTTCTAGTTTGTGTTTTTTTTCTCTTTTATAGGAGATGGTATTATTGAACCAATTCCTCTTAACGTCAAAACAGGTATGTAATTATTAGCATATGTCCTAGAAATAATAACATGCTTAAAGCCACCACAAATACTTGCTTAATAATTTTTTTGTTTATTTGTTTGTTTTGTTTTTTTGTTTCTTGAGACAAGGTTGCACTATATAGTTGAGACTGACCTGGAACTCACTATGTAGCCCAGGCTGGTCTCAAACTCACAGTGATCCTCCTGCCTCAGCCTCCTGAGTGCTGGGATAATAGGCCTGCGCCACCACAATCAGCTTTTGCTTAATAATTCTTAAAAGTGAAATTATCATAGTTCTTATCATAGGAAGCCTTTAGTAAAATGTTTGTTAAACTTCTAATCCCTTTTGAAGGTTTTATTGTCTAGGGAAAATAAACAAAAGTTTTAGTGAAATAAAAGTAAGTTTTACAGGGCCAGGGATTTAGCTCAATGGTTCCACCGCCTGCCTTGCAAGTGCAGGTGTCCCAAGTTTGATCCCCAGTACCAAAAAAAAAAAAAAAAAAAAAAA